GAATAAAAATACAATTTATCAACCTGATTGTTCAAACAGGTGAATGTTAAAAATACTTGAGAAATATATTGAGAATATTATTAAAAGATTCTAAATTTTTATTAGAGTTCGTTCCTTAGAATAATCGAAAAAATCTCGAATGCATGATTCACTAAAATGAGCTTGATTGCTTGACATAATAAAACAAAGCGCTAATCTTAGATTATATAGACATTTTATATAATCTAAGATGCTAATGTTTAAATATGATAAATTATAAATTAGATAATTTAGCTGTTACCGAGATATTCATGGTGTATTATAAAGAAAATTTAGAGTTCTAGCAATAGGAGTTTTAGATGTAATGTAAAAGTGAATTTAACAAAACTTAGAACTGTTTAATAGAAAAGCAGGTAAATATGAGTACATTTTTTAATAGGATGAAACAGAAACAGAAACAGAAACAGAAACTTTTTTATTCAATATAGATTATAAATAATACTTATTGAAAGTCACTCTTTTGTTTGATTACCACTGGTTCGGAAAAAACCTCTGTCCTGGGAAGAACCAGCAAGAAACCCAGCGGGACTTTTTTTTTAAATAACAGCTTACAATCATGATGTTACACAAATTAACAACACAACAAATTAGAAATAGCTTGGTAGCGATCACCTCATTTCCAGGGGTTATTATCATCCATAAATTCCTTAATATTATAATAACCCTTTTTATACAAACTTAGTTTAATAAAGTTTTTGAACTTTGAACAGGTCAAACTTTGTATATTTTCTGGAATTTTGTTGTAAAAGCGTATACATCGCCCCAAGAATGAATTACTGACTCGATGGAGTCGAGTAACTGGTACTACTAGCTTGTGTCTGTTCCTAGTATTTACAGAATGAATATCACTTATTTTTGTAAAACTACTTTTATTTTTGTGTACGTACATTACATTTTCATAAATGTATTGAGAGGCCAAAGTTAATATATTAATTTCCTTAAATTTTTGTCGCAGCGACTCTTTAGGCTTTAAATCATAAATTGCTCTTATGGCCCTCTTCTGCAAAACAAATATAATTTCAGTGTCAGCTGCGTGTCCCCATAGCAAAATACCATACGACATTATGCTATGGAAGTAGCTGAAGTAAACTAGTCTAGCTGTATCAACACTGGTTGAGGGTAACAAATGAGCATACAGTCCATCTGATGGTAAGTGGTTGCTGTGGCCCACAGATATCTACATTTATCCTCGATTACGAACCAAAATGCAGATGCGTTGTCAGCCGTGAGGACTAAGATAGAATGCCTCATTTCCAATAAAAAGGGTGTCCGGTTCTCTACACTCACCATACGAAACACGCGTTAAGCTGCTATTTTACGTTGGTATTCAGTGAGAGCGTGGTCTTTCCCCGGTCGAGCCGACCCATTCGTGCTACAACTATACTATTATATAGCTGCAGTATGGCTCTACCACGTAAAATATGCATTAAAGACAAATAATTGTTTATTATATAATAATAAATTAAATGTTAATTATGGATTCATATTATGATTCGTGAGGTACTGTAATATCCCTTATTATTGCATTGTTAATTGTGATTGTTGCTTGATATGAAGTGACGGTGCAGGGTGCGACGTCCGCTCGTGACCCTGGCTGGCCCAATGCCACGTATCTGCTGAACAGCGGGCCGGGCAATCCGCCAGCAGTCGAGATAGGCTTCCGCATCGCTCGCACTTTGCTCCAAACTGACTATTGTTCGATCTATTTCAGATGTCATACGATAAATAATAGTTTTAAGTAGAGGTTCAAACTCTTAAATTTTTATCATCGATAAAACAGACCTGTTTAAAGAATTTTTTTATTTACTTCTGCGTTTTTGGTTTATCGCTATAATATGGCTTTACTATACATCATTATACTGTAACATTATTTCAACGTACTCATTAATGTATTCATTAGCATAAGATAATCTATAAGATCAAAGTAGACCTTACTTATCTTCACGCACAATCCCTGACGGGGTAGCCAGAGAGAACAGATCGCCAAGTGTCACGATCCTTACATATCTCTTTCGCTTCTTTCAGATTCATTATCTTCTTCATACATGCACGTCTAGGTATCCGAGTACTCTTGACCCTACCCTCTTCGAGCAATTTGCTCACATGGTCTTCGAAAGTTAGTCTCGGTCTACCTCGACACCTTTTAATATTAACTTTCGCGCTATATATTTTCTTCACCATTCGGTCTTCACTCATTCGCTCAACGTGCCCAAACCACCGAAGCACGCCCTTATCAATTTTTGTGATAAGGTCATCTTTCAAACCTGCCATATTGCGAATCTCTTCGTTTCGCTTTCGGTCGGCCATAGTAACGCCGCACATTTTACGAAGAGATCGCATCTCCACTGCATTCAACTTACTTTTATGCTTCTTCTGGCATACCCAGGTTTCGCTGCCATATAACAAAGTCGGTACCAACACTGCGTTATGTATTGCAAGGCGTGCACTCTTCGCTACGCCTTGCCTTTTGACTAACGCAGTCAGGGCACCATTGACTTTGTTCCCGGCAGCGACACGCCTGTCCACATCTAAATCACATCTTCCATCCCGGCTAAAAGCACTCCCCAAGTATACAATTTCATTTACCTGTTCTAGACATTCCTGATTTACCCATATTTCACACTTCGTTCTCTCTTCGTCCCTTTCAAATACCAGAACCTTAGTTTTATTAGCATTCAAACGGAGACCTTTAATTTCACATTCCTCTTTCATACACGTGACTAATGCCTGCAGTTCTGCCTCTGATGGTGCAATAAGCACTGCATCATCAGCATACAGCAGACAATTTACTTTTATGTCACCCAATTTCACACCCAAACAGCTATCTTTCAGCTTTTGTAAACAGCTGTCGAGATACAGTATGAACAGCCAGGAAGACATGACACAACCCTGTTTTACGCCCGTTTGGACGCTAAACATGGGTGACAGGTCATGCCCTACCCGCACACAGGCTTTACAGTCACAGTAAAGAGACTGCACAGCCCTTAGCAATCGGCCATCCACACCATACCCCGGCAACAGTTCCCACATTTTCTTCCTTACAACCTTATCAAATGCTTTCTCAAGATCCACAAAAGCACAGAAAATCTTCTGGTTAACAGCCAGAAGCTTTTCCGTGATCATACGGAGAGAAAACATTTGATCCGTGCATCCTCTTCCAGGTCTAAATCCGCATTGTGCCTCCCATAGAAATCTTTCCGATTTCTCTTGCATCCTACGTGTCAAAACCTTCGAGTAAACTTTACTTGCTAAACTGGTCAAGCTGATCGCCCGATAGCACCCGCAGTCAAAATGTGAACCTTTACCTTTATATAAAGGCACAATGACTGCGGATCGCCAATCATCCGGGACATCCCCCGTCCGCCAGCACAAATTGCACAGCAGATGAAAGCTGTCCCAGACGCGAGGCCCACCATACTTGACCATTTCAGCAGTAACTCTGTCTAGTCCCGCAGCCTTACCACATTTCAAACTTCGAATCGCACGTTCAATCTCTTTCATACTGATGACCTCAGTGTCATCGAGGTCCGGGTCTGGCGTACCAGTCACGGCGTCATCCCCGGATCCCTCACTAAGATCATCACACGCATACATTTCTCTATAAAATTCGCTCCATCGCTGCATGACGTCCGATTTTTCTGATAGGACGTCATTAGTTCTCGAAAGCACTTTGTTCATTCTTAAGGCCGTCGCACCACTTCGGGCCCTTCCAACCTCTTTCCAGAAGAGTTTGGAGTTCTCCTTAAAGTTGTGCGACAACCTTTCATCCGCTTCCATTCTACACCTTTCACGCACTTCCTCAATCAATGCTTTCGTGTGAACTTTCTGCAGCTTATATCTTTCTTTTATCTTCTCTCTCATATCCTTATCATTACTAGAGGCCAAGTAGTCTAACCATGCTTTCTTCTTCTTCTTTACAGCTTCTTTCACTTCATCATTCCACCATGCATCTCTTCTTTTACTACTGCCTCTTTTTATTGTTCCACACACTTCTTCCGCTGCACTTACCATTCCATCCCTAAGGTTCTGCCATGTTCTTTCTACACATTCGTTTCTGCCATCGATGGTGTCAAGCTTTTCGGCTACCCTCGCATGATATTTGTCCCTAGTATCCGCTTCCTGAAGCTTCCAGCTTCGGATGCGACAGACCGACTGTGGTTCTGTCACTGTCGTCCGGTAGCGCCAACCCGCGAACAGACCCCTAAATCTAGTAATCACTAGATAGTGATCCGTTCCCAGGTCAGCACCCCTGAACACTCGCGTATCCATAACCTGTTTTCGCAGTCGGTCATCCACCAGGAACAAATCGATCATACTTCTCTCATTCTTTCTTTCTCTAGTATACATATGGATTTTCTTGTGATTAAACATAGGTAGTGTTTGTCACAAGAAGACCCTTTTCCTTGCATACCGCCAGTATAAGCTTGCCAGCATCATTAACCCTTTTATCGCCAAACTTTCCAAGTACCGACTCGTACCCTGGTCGAGCGGTACCAACCCATCCATTCAAATCACCACATACAACAATCCTTTCGTTTCCCCTAGCCAAATCTAGAACTTCTCTTACATTCTCCCAAAACTCCTCCAGCTCAGCCCTGGACGACGAAGCCACCGGCGCATAAACAGCCAAAAGGAATAACTTCGTCAGTCCCAATAGAAAGATAACCTACGCTTCAGAGGCGCCCGCGTCGGTTTGACATCGCTGTCTCTTTCTAATGAGCGCGCGTATCTACCTGTCCTTATAAGTTAGCTCAGTGGTCGGTGCACAAAGTCGCGGGACGGCCGTTTTTACGCGGTAAGTACCATAGTTTTGCAGTTATGACTAAGTGTTGCGCTCCAAAGGCGCATGGTTATCTTTATTGTAACTTTTAGTGAAAGTATGAATTTGTTTATACTTACATAAAATGTTTATTATAACTGTTTATTTCTTTGTTTTAGCATAAAATCTTTTCGCCTTCATCATGACGAGCCGGAGAACACTATCTGAAGATGCAATATCTAGGTTTATCGCTGAAGAGGAAGAGAGCGAGCATGAACGAGAGCAAGGAAGTGACAGTGAGATAGAAGATAATTTGAGTGAAGATGACATACAGAGTGATTTCGAAGACGAGTTTATAGATGATGAGGTGCCACAACAATTGAATGATACACAAAATGAAGACGATATAAGTCCGCCTGTATCTTCAGAGCCCACTGGAACTTCGGAATCATCCCGTCGTGACCACCGCATAATTGTTCCTGATCGCCGTGTGCTTAGGGGTAAGAACCAACATTGCTGGTCGACAATAAAAGGACAAAGTCGCGGAAGGACATCTGCCATAAATATTATTCGCACAAGTAGAGGTCCAACGCGCATGTGTCGAAATATATGTGACCCAATCTTATGTTTTAATTTGTTTGTTACCGACGAAATAGTGGATGAGGTCGTCCGTTGGACGAATGTTGAGATCTCTGTGAAACGTCGAGATAACATGATCAAAGCCACTTTCAGAGATACGTCTGTGACAGAAGTCCAAGCTTTGTTTGCGATACTGACTTTGAGTGCAGCAATGAAAGACAATCACTTGTCTACTGATGAGCTGTTCGATAGTAGTTTTTCAGGTACACGGTACGTGGCAGTGATGAGTAGGGATCGTTTTGATTTCCTGCTTAGATGTCTACGATTTGATGACAAGTCTATACGACCCTCTTTACGTCATGAAGATCCATTCATACACATTAGAAAAATATGGGAATTATTTGTAACTCAGTGTAAACTGAATTATACACCAGGAGAGCATGTCACAATAGATGAGCAATTATTAGGGTTTCGAGGACGGTGTCCGTTCCGCATGTATATCCCCAATAAACCCAGTAAATATGGAATTAAAATCCCTATGCTGTGTGACAGCGGAACAAAGTACATGCTAAATGCAATTCCGTATATTGGCAGAGCTACGAACACTAATGGGATGCCACAAGGAGAATTTTATGTAAAGGAGTTGTCTCGGCCCTTGCATGGCACAAACCGAAATATAACTTGTAACAATTGGTTCACTTCGGTTCCTCTCGCGAAATCCCTACTTCAGGAACCGTACAAACTAACCCTCGTTGGCACTTTACGATCCAATAAACGAGAAATCCCCGAAGAACTGAAAAACACTCGGTCTCGTTCGGTAGGCACGTCAATGTTCTGCTACGATGGATGTTTGACCCTAGTCTCGTACAAACCGAAGCCCTCTAAGATGGTTTACCTGCTATCATCGTGTGATGAAGACGGTGTCATCAACCCAATAACTGGTAAGCCTGAAATTATAATGTATTATAATCAGACCAAAGGCGGGGTGGACACTTTCGATCAAATGTGTTCCTCAATGTCATGTTCGAGGAAAACCAATAGATGGCCAATGTCTATGTTTTATGGCATTCTGAACATAGCATTCGTCAATTCTTATGTTATATATTGTCACAACATTCTTGCAAAAAATGAAAAGCCTCTAAATAGAAGGGGTTATATGAAAAAGTTAAGCGCCCAGTTATCTGAATCGTGGATGAAGGAAAGACTGGAAGCTCCTACTTTGCCAAAGCATGTGAGAGATAATATCGCAAATATTCTTCCGAAACCGGTTGTGCAGAACGATACAGATAATGAAGAAGAACCTCCAGCCAAGAAAAGGCGGTACTGCACCTTTTGCACTAATAAAAAAAAGAGAATGTCTAAGATGACTTGCGTCAAATGCAGGAAAACAGTTTGCGGCGAACACAAAAATGATGTTTGTTTTGAATGCCTATCAAACCAAATTTGAGCCAAACGATTATAGTTTTGACTGATTTTTTTTTTAGTTGATTAGTTAGTAAGAAATAATATAATTCGTTTTTAAGAAAAAAATTATTATTTTTTGATACTATGTTCTTGTAAACAGAAGACTGCTAATTTTGTTGATTTTTTCTAGAGGTTTTTTGATTTAAGTTTAATGTTTAAAATATATAACATATTTCACTAAAAAAAGTTTTTTATTATTAGTTCATTAACCACATTTCAAAACAATCAAGTAAATAAACACAATAAATAGGTATTTCGTTAAAAAAAATTATTAATATATCGTGCGCCTCCGAAGCGCATGGTTATCTTTTGTGACAGTCAAAATATGGTTATCTTTCTAGGGTTAAAGCGAACCCAGAGAAGTCTTGAGTTCACAAACTTATATTCAGTCATAACATCGACCAACCGAGAAGACAGCAGCACCCCCACTCCCTGGCAGGCATTCTCGCTCTCCGGGACTCCGGACCATAGAGCTAACGCCCCGCCAGGGAGCTCTTCAGTACCACTGCCCTTCCGTTTGGTCTCCGACATACACACGACATCTAATTCTCTTTCTTTCATTATTTCGATCAACTCATTCGTCTTATCTCTCATGCCTCCTCTAACATTCCACGTGCCAACTCTGCACTCCGTCCTCCACCTTCCGCCGTGTCGGGCTGTGCGTGACGGGTGGCGGTCCCCATCGCCGCTTTGCGCGCTGCATTCCACACCAACGGGGACGAGCTGGTGTGCGTCGCCTTGGGGGGACGCCCTAACCCTCGTTGACATGGGTGCGCAGCTGAGTAGAATTGCAGCCCTGAAAAGGGCTGGCAGGGGTCGCGACGAGCACGCTTCTACAATGACCCCTATTAATGTATTCAATTATTTTATTTTATTCAAAGTGGAACAGCTAACAGCTACATTATATGTGTACATATATATTACACACAGGAAGTTACAGTAACGTTAATATACGCAATAATGCAGCCCACAGTGCTGTTCCCAGATTACCTCTTGAGATAGATGATTAAGATGCTAGGAGACCTGCAGCTGTACAGAACGTATTGTATAGGTGTCAAAGTATGGTCAGCAATGGTATTATAATGTGACTGAGGTGACAAATTATTATTTGAAAAGTGTCTTGTATAAAAAACCACGAAGCTTTTCCGTTGAGCAAGTGAAAATATCTAAATTTAAATATCTAATAGGTGATCTAACTCATTAAGTAATTGACTACCTACTAAGTTGGGATTATGGTGATTTAATTGATTTTCCTCGTATCTTTAATACTGCAACCGAAGCTACCTCCATCCTCTGTGGCGGATTACCCTTAAGACAAACTAGGCACGTGCTTAGGGGCGCAAGGTTCCAAAAGTTGAAGTTTTTAAATGATAAAATAAATGAAGTAAGTACCTACTTACAGAAAATAAAAAAATTATACTTTCTTTAGAGAATTAGAGCTCCCAATGCGTGCCCGTCTACTTGATTACTTCTACATAGCACTTGCTTGTGTACTCTAAGGCCCTCACTCTGTCATCATGTTTTTCATTCACGCATAACGTGTCGTAATTATTTTGCAACTAAACTGTATTATAAATTATAATATAGTTTATTTGCAAAGTAATACATAGTTATAATATATTGCCGCCAGAGGGGCGCCGATGAGATGCTAGCCTAGTGCGCTGTCGACATTTAATCCACCACCAGCGTGAAGTAGAGGTTTACCTCTGCGTTTCGCTTGGTGAGTGCAGGTGGCCGGAGGCCCTTTTTACTGGAAATGAGGCATTCCATCTTAGTCCTCACGGGTGGCAACGCGTCTGCATTTTGATTCGCAAACGAGGATAGATGTAGATGTCTATGGGCCGCAGCAACCACTTACCATCAGGTGGACTGTGTGCTCGTTTGTCACCCTTATCCTATAAAAAAAAAAAAACCTCTGTCCATCCTATGTCATAAGTCATCGGGTACTGTTAGGATGAATGAGAATCCTTGTGTCCATGTATGTGTAATTGTGGTATCAAAATATTTATTACCGGTTAATTTTGATACTGTTTTATCAATTTATTAGCTGACCCGGCATACGTTGTTCTACCCTTTTCGGTAGGTGGTGAGATGTGAGTGGAGAGTTGTGACAGGTGGAGAGATGAGTTATATTCCGAATTCTCTCCGGATTTTTTACTGTGTAAATATATAAAGTGTATTAATAACTCGACTACAGCTCCACCTATCGGATCCCGAATTAAATTCTGGGGTCGGGTTAAAATCTGTTATTGAGTTTTTTTTTCTTTTGATGTTTCAAGCCAGTGCGGAAAGCACATAAAGCCGTTGGTCTTGCGCTTGATGTCTGTTCGGTCGTGTTAGATTGCTATCCATCTCTTCAGACTATGAGATTGGGGGAATAAATTGAGAGTGTAACAGCTGTGCTAGTGCATAATCTCATACACTGTCCTGTGCAGATGGTTAGTCTCCTTTTAGACTGGTCAAAATTCGGTCTGAAGGACACTCAAGGAAAGTCTTCAATTCCTTATCAACTATAAAACAGATTAGATTGAAGAAAAATTTTACTTACCCCTGATCTGTCCGTTATTGTTCATAACTATAGTATGACTATACAATATGTCACTATACTATATTATTTTAACGTGCTTATTCTTAACGATATTCTATTTTTTATGTTATATATTCATTAACTCATTAAGTAATTGACTACTTAGTTGTGAGTACGGCGATTTAATTGATTTGCCTCGTGTCTTTAATGCTGATGAAGGATATGAAATGTAAGACATTATTAGTATACACACTTGAACACACTACTTGAGCGCAGTGCCACCTATCAAATCCTAAATGTTTATGCGACATCGTCTTAACAAAATAAATATATTGTGTGATTTTTGTTGGTCAAGTCATTTGTTGTACGTGGTAGAGCCAAGCTGCAGCTATATCTATACATATAATAATTTATAATATAATTGTAGCACGAATGGGTCGGCTCGACCGGGGAAGGACCGTGCTCTCACAGAATACCAGCGTAAATAGCAGCTTAATGCTGCTGTGTTTCGTATGGTGAGTGTAGAGAACCGGATACCCTTTTTACTGGAAAAGAGGCATTCCATCTTAGTCCTCAAGGCTGACAACGCATCTGCATTTTGATTCGCAAACGAGGATAGATGTAGATGTCTATGGGCCACAGCAACCACTTACCATCAGGTGGACTGTGTGCTCGTTTGTCACCCTATTTCTATAATAAAAAGTCGTTTATAAGTTACACAATCACTAACAGACGCACCAACTATTAGAAACGTACAATAAATATTAATTCTTCATTGAGCCTATATACTTATGTGTAATAATGTATTAAAATAAAAGTTGGAGTATTCCGAACTTGTGGTCGATATCGGTAGGCGTGACGTTACGTTCATCCAATTTTAATAAATAAAAAAGATACTAATACTGTAAAATGAGATTAATTAGTTTTCTTTTTCAATTTCTAGCAAACAGCAAATATGATCGATTCATTCAAAATCAATTACTCGCAGCGTGTATTTTAGATCGCATACAATTCATATGTTTATTTGTCGTTATTGGAAGAAGCAAAGAGACTATAGTTTATTGCAATATACATATATAATATAAAATTAGGGTTTATATCTTTACAAAACCATTAACATTTTTAAATATAGATTGTAAATACTATTCCTTTTTTATAGAATAAGGGTGACTAACATCACCTGATGGTAATGAATACTGTGAGTTCTAAACATCTACATTTATCCTCGATTAAGAAACAATATGCAGATGCGTTGTCACCCCTGAGGACACTAGTCATCAAGGATGGAATGCCTCTTTTCCAGTAAAAAGGGTCTCCGGTTCTCAACACTCCATACGAAACACAGGAGCATTAAGCTGCTATTTTACGCTGGTATTCTGTGAGAGCCTGGCCCTTCCCCCGTCAAGCCGAACTATTCGTGCTACAACTATAATATAACTGCAGAATGGCTTGTTAGTTTGCTGACTTTAATAATAAAAATCTGAGTCTACTATATTCATTATTAAATTTATTATTCTAAAATATTCTTAAATACATTTACCATTTCATGGAAACAAGAGTGGGTCGCAAATATATTATGGAACAGTCATGGTAGCTCTGTTATGTTGGTGCTGCTAGACGAGAGGCTTTTGCACTTTTATCAGACTTACGGCAACATACAAACATATGTACGTTTACGTACGTACGTATACAAATAACGAGTTCGATCTGCATCAGCACTAATTATTTTTTAATTGCTATTTAAGTGCTGACAATATCCACAACATGTACCCTAATTAATCATTACATCAAGGATGCGAACCGCGAACTCAATCCGTCATTCGACTATTGTCAAGAACGATCCCTAACACAACCATTTTAAACTCACTGAAGAGATTAACAGGAATATTAATAATGTTAATAGTTAATATTGAGATACCATCGCAAATTGCTCACTGCTCCAAAATCCTCTCAGAAATATGAGGAACCCTGGATCAAGCAGTGGGAAATATAGAAGCTGATACTTTACTTTGTTATAACCTGTAAATAATCATGTAAACCTAAATATTAAAATACCTATTACTTATGTGTTATATTTCAAATTGTAACCAAGCTTTGATTGCAGCGGATTGTAAATGCAAAAGCGATGATAATACAAAGGATGCATTCTGTGAACATCAAAAGATGTTTACATCGTAACTAATCCAATTCATCACCTGCTACACGTTAATAGACGAGTAATTGAAAGTTATGGTCGCGAATACTGGCATTGGCATAGGTCCCGGGCGTTGACCGCTCTTGTACTGCGCTGCATGTACACAAGAACGAAATATACAAACAATGTGCTCTCTATACATAGATAGGATAGCCGTACATGCTAATTAAAAACTTATGTATACGTATCTAGGGTGCACATTCAAATGTGACAATCATGCACTTAGGGCTTTCTTCATTGTTGGTGGTACCGTTAAATATAG